AGGAGGAGAGGAGAGGAGGAGAGGAGGCGAGGAGAGGAGGAGAGGAGTAGAGGAGGAGGAGAGGCGAGGAGAGGGCCGGCCTGCTGCTGCGATCTCGTCGATGATGGACGAGTGGCCCTCCCACAGCAGCGGGTCGTCGTACGGCGGCACGTACGCAGCCGCCCCGCCCGACGCGCCGACGAGCTCTGTGGCAGCCGGCGGCCACGGCGGTCGGCTCTGGCGGGCAGGCGGCGGCGGCGGCGGCGGCGAGAGCGAGGCGAGAGCGATGAGCGAGCGTGCGGATGTGGCTCCGGATCGCGGCGCGCACCTCGAGCGAGTTCGTCCGCCGCGTTCCAGTTGGCGCCGTGCACCTCCACCTCGGCTCCGTGCGCGCGCATCTTTTCAATCATGATTGGCTTTGTGGTCGTCGGCACGACCACCCGGACGCGCATGCCTAGCTTGCGGCCGGCGGCAGAGGCGGCGAGGCCAGCGTTGCCGCCGGAGGAGGAGATGAGGTCGGTGACACCACGCGACTGCAGCGCTGCGCACATGTAGGCCATCCCGCGGTCCTTGAAGGAGCCGCTCGGCTGCAGCGCGTCCATCTTGAGCAGCACTTGGCAGCCGGTGGCGGCCGAGAGCGGGAGCGACTCGACGAGTGGCGTCTGGTGCGTCAGTCCATGCGGCAGCTTGATCGCAGGCACGATCGGCGCTGCCCTCGCCAGCGTGGCGAGAGGTCGCAGCGTCGTTCGCGGACGCAGCGTCGACAGCGGTAGGCTGAACAGCACCGCCATGGGGCCGGAGGGGTGCGGTCGGTGAGAAAAAATTCTCCGTTACCACCCGATGCCAATCATCCGGCCCGCTGGGTGCGCTTCTGAGCTCCCCGGCCCTGGATGTGCGGTTAATGACTGCACTCCAAGTGCTCCAAGTGCTCCAAACCCGGAAAAAAAGCGCGCATTGTCGGGGCTCCCGGGCTCCGAGCCGTCTTGGGATCCCTCCTCGCGAAGAATCGCTCCCCACCTCTCTGGAGCCGTCGCGGGGCTGTGAAGGCCCGTAAAGAAAGACCCTCGCCCGCCGGTTTGACCGTGACATCGGACTTGACCGCCGCTCTAGCAGCAACACACGTTGCATATACCCTTCATATGCGAGCTTCCGCTCTCCTTCTGGCCTCCCTCGCCGCAGCCCTTGCTGCTGTGGCGTTCACGGGCGTGTGCAGTCTGTTGCGTGCAAGATACGTCTACTCTGGGCTCGCCATAACGTGGCCGGCGGCAGCATTGGTTGGACTGCTCTTTAGGTTCTGCGCTCAGATCGTTCGCAGCCACCAGGAGACAGCCGCTGTCCCGAGAGGGCGATGCTCGGGCGCGGGCAGCGTGGGCACTGGCAAGGATACTGAACTTGATTGGCACGAGGCTGCGCCTGAGCACAGAATCAACGCGATGCCGTCAACGGATGAGGTAATGCGAGGTCCTGGTTCGGAGTCGGCGGAGCCAGCAAAGGAGGATGCGGAGGGGGGTGGGGCGCGGGAAGAGCAACGGGATGCGCGACGAGTGGTGCGCAAGGTGAAAATGGGCGGCCCCAAACCGTGCGACGTGTGCGCGCGTGACGTCGACCTGCTGGTGCGCTGCCAGGCCGACGCAAGCAATCAGCAGTGGAGGATGGTGTGTGGCCGCTGCTGGAAGGCGGTCGCAAAGCAGAATCCACACTATCGGTACGGCGGGCTGTGGCGCCGCGCTCGATGAAAGGGAGTGGACGAATCGGAGCTCCACGCTGGCGGTGCCGCGCTGAGATAGACCCCGGTCGCCCCCCGCTGTGCGCGCTGTGCCCCGCCGCTTTCAGCGCGGTGGCTCCCTCTCGCGTCTCGGCACACTCTCCCGGCGCGCCGCGGCCGCGCGTGCTGTGGCGTGTGGGGTGTGGCGTATGTGGCGGCGCACACGCGCATCGTTTCTGGATTTCGAAGCGAACTGCTTACGTTGCTCAGTAGACGGCATTGCCTATTTGCCTTGGATCGACTCATTTCTGATTTTGGTCTCTCTCTCTCCCGGTCTCTGTCCAAACTGCGCCGCGGTCCCGCGGAGAGCATATTTGTGCCAGCTTTTCTGTGCTGCTCGCTCAGAGCATCTCCATGGTGAACTCCTGCGCCTCAACGCGCGTGCAGCCGTCGATCGCCCCAAGCTTCGCGAGGAACTCCGCCTCGGGCTTGAACTCGTCTTCCTTCCAAGCTCCGTGGTCATCCGCGGGCTGGTTGACGATGACCTTGAAGTCGCCGCAGCCGCCGCACACCACGCGGGTCACTTCGGCGTTGGGAAGCGCCTTGAGCGTAGGGAGATACGCTTCCAGGAGCGCCTGTGCGGCCTTCAGCGCCGCCGATTCGCCCGGGCCGCCGTCTGCGCCCATGGCGTACTTGCAGCGCCACTCGCGTGCAACCTTTGTGAAGGCCACACCCGTCGAGCCGATCTCCGGCATGTTCCTGAACGCAGGGGGATTCTGTCGGGAGACACAAAAGCGACCTGTGTGTACTGTGTTAGTGCCAGTGCGCGCCAGTATCCGAAACGTGTGGCTACGGCTTGCGACCCGAGATCAGATGGGAGCTGGCTCACAGAGCCAGACGCGTAGGAAGTGCAGCGCCGGTTCTAACTGCGTGGGATGCTAGAGCAGAGCAACCTCGGCTTGTGGCTGCGATGCTCGGACAGTGCACAAAAAATAGCATTTTTTTTGAGCTTCCCTTCGATGTTATGAAACAAACGCAAGGCGGACATGGCATTTTTTTTGAATTTGCCTCTAGTTCGTTACCCTTTACACGACCCACGACCTCCCCTCTTCACGTAAACGCACAACCCCGGGCCCGAAATCGCACAGAGTCACGCAACACATTCGCTGTATCTACTCAGCAGCTCCGCTTACATGTACACTTACCTGTGAACGATATCGGTGTCGAAACACCGCTCTGACAGCGCTCACAGCTACGGGGTCCCACCCAGGCCGCTTTGCTCACCCTTTTTTTTTTTCCTGTGTCTTGATTTGCCAAGAACAATAACCCCACGGGCCGCACCGAGCCGCCCGCGCCAAGAGCTCGAATGAGCGTCGCGCAGGAGGGCATGTTCGACATGCGCGACCCTCCGGCGCGCGTGGCCGCGACGCTGCCCGGCCTGACCTCCACCGCGCCGTACGAGTACTACTCTGGCTACCTCAACGCTGGCACTCCGCCGTCGGGTCGCGGCGTCGCCTTCTTCCACTACATCTGCGCGATGGCGCCGGACTGGAAGGAGAAGCCGCTCTCGATCTGGTACAACGGCGGCCCGGGCGCGCCGTCCACGTTTGGGCTCTTCCAGGAGTTTGGGCCCTTCCTGCTGACCTCGGACTCGTATCGCACGGCGGAATTCCGTGCGACCAAGGTGCCGACGCCGCTCTTCAACGCGTGGACGTGGGCCAACGTGACGAGCCTCTGCGAGATCGACTCTCCCGCTCCGATGGGTGCCTCATACTGCACGATGGGCAACGGCAGCGCCACCAGCCACGGCGGCCCGAGCGGAGACCCGTACACCTGCGGCCCTTGGACGGACAAGTCGACGGCGAAGGCCAACCACCGCGCGCACGCCGCCTTCTTCCGCGACGCCTTCCCCGAGTTCGAGGCTTCGCAGCAGCCGGTGACGCTGGTGGGCGAGTCGTACGCCGGCGTGTACGTCCCTCTCTTTGCAAACGAGTGGCTCGACGACCCGATCACCGGCCCTACCGGCAGGCCGATCCACTTCAAGGGCTTCGCGGTGGGCGACGGCTTCCCGGCCTGCATCCCGCAGCCGGGCAGGCCGGTCGACTGGTGCGTCAACCTGCGGGAGGTCGAGTTCTTCAAGTACCCCAACGCGCTGCCCGGGCCGCACTGGGACGTCGAGTTCTTCCACGGGCGCGAGATGCAGCCGAGATGCAGCCGAGGTGCATCCGAGGTGCAGCCGAGGTGGTGACACCTGACACGGCACCGCGCCTCAGGCACTCGCAGATGTCCGAGGAGCTGTACGCGCGCATCGTCGGCGGCGGCTGCAGCGAGGCGGAGCTCAAGGGCAAGGCTGCGCCGCAGCCGCTCAGCGCCGGCTGCCTGTCTCTGATGGAGGAGATGAGTCGCGAGGTTGGCTTCTTCTACGCCTACAACCTCTTCGAGGCGTGCCCCGAGGAGGTGCCCAAGAGGAGGATGACGGCGGGGGCGACGAGGCCGCGCTCACGCGCGCGCGTCGCCATCGACGCCGCGACCGCCGCCTCGCTGATCCCGCTGACCGCCGCCCCGCTGCCAGCCGCGCCCTCGCCCGGCGACGGCGACACTGGCCTGGGCGCTCCGTGCCTCGGCTCGGCGATGAACGACTACTTTTCGCTCAACGCCACCAAGGCGGGGCTCGGCATCCCGTTGTCGAACAACTTCATCGTCCTTGACAACGGGATCGGCATGAACTACACGACAGATTCGGCCTTCGTCGGCTTCGCCTATGAAAAGGCGATCCGGGCGGGCAAGAGGGTCCTCATCTACGAGGGCGACTCGGACGACTGCGGCCTGCAGACGGCGCCGATCGAGCAGATCTGGGTGCCCTTCTTCGGCAACGGGACCGGCACGTGGACGCCGATGGGGCCGCTCGGCACGCCCGCCTCCACGCCCCTCGGCCTGCCGCTCACGCAGCCGTGGCGGCCATTCGAGGTGCTGCCCAGAGGGAGGCGCGTGCAGGGAGGCTTCTCGATGGCGTGGAACGGCGGCCAGGTCCGCTTCGTGTCGGTCCGCGGCGCGGGCCACCTGCTGCCGCTCTACCGACCCGCCGCCTCCTTCACGATGATGAGCGCCTTTCAGGCCGACGAGCCACTGCCGCCGCCTTTCTACCCGCCGCCGCCGAGAGAGCAGGCGGCGCGGCGGGCGGTGTCGTAGTCTATGACCGTATGAGAGAGAGCTCTCTCAGAAAAACGGACGATTTGCTCGCCAATAAGCAATATTTTTGCACCACCGCACGAGACGCCTGTGTGTGATCACACGAGACCGATAGACGCGACGCCGCCGCACTCCTCCTCTGTCAACACCGCCTCCACCGCTGCCACCGCCACACTCCTCGCCGCCGCCGCCGCCGCCTTCCTCTCTTTCTTTGATCGCGGCGCGCCCTGCGGAAGGCCGGCCCGTTCTAGGATCTCTGGCAGCGAGCCAGGGACAAACTCTGCGGCTCCGGCCCGCAGGGTGGACGTGCCTGCTGGCGTGCGCCGCCCGTCCATGTCGCCCGCCTTCCACTCACCATCGTAGACCCCGCCGTCAGCGTCCCTCCCCAGCTCGTCGCTCCCCACCTCCAGCGTGCCGATCGCCCACGACCCTGCGTGCGCCTTTCGCCACGCAGTCATATCGTCGGAGCCGTCGGCGGGGACGCTATCCGCGCAGCTCAGGCCGTGGCTACGCCACGCGATGCGCGCGCGGCCGAGGTCGGCGAGGCGCGAGAGAAACCGCTCCTCGTTCCCGTTGCGCACGCGCCAGCACATGACCACGAGGCGGCAGCCGCCGCGGCCAATGAGAGCGCGGAGCGCCGCCTCGAGCGGTGCGAAGGACGTGTCGTCTGACGAGTAGATGACGTCCGAGGCGACGAGGACCTCGCTGCACCGGCCGCCTCGCCCGACGGCTTGCAGCACCTCCTCGAGCTGTGTCTCGCTCTCCCAGGCGTACTGCAGCGCGCGAAGCCGCGTAGCCTCGACGCCGTTGCGAGAGGCATTCCGCTGGATGAGCTTCGTCGCGCACGTGTCCCCGTCGGTGGAGACAACGTGCAGGCCCAGCTTTGCTAGCGCGATCGAGACGAGGCCGCACCCGGCGCCGAGCTCGACGGCCGACGAGAAGGAGGCGAGGAGCTGCTGCGGGCGCCTCTCGCGGCAGCACCAGTCGGCCAGCTCCTCGCTCGCGCCCCAGACCACCCTCCCGGTCGCGTCGCCCGCTCGCACGGAGGAGCCGTTCACACTCGCTTCGCCGATGCAGATGCAGCCGCAAGGGAGGCGGATGTAGCGGCGGCCGGCAGCGCCGTGCTCGCCGTCGCTTGTGTCGCTGCTGCTGTACGCGGCGGCGGTGTCTGGCTCAGGCGCTCCCAAATATACACATTGCCTGCTCTGCTGAGGGGAGGGGCCGGGCTCATAGCCCCCCGTCATGTACAGTGAGACGTATAAACGAACGGACGTCGGCGCAACTTCTCGTTGGCAGTTGCGTCGCGGTCGTGCCAGCCGATTTCAGTCGCGCGACTCGCAACTGCACTCAACTTGCGGCGGGCAACAAGCAATTTAAAAATAACAGAATAACACGCCGCGAGAGCGCGCACACCCCAGGGCTAGGGCTCTCTAGCCCGTAACCCGACCCCAATCGTCCGGCCTCTGGGTGCGCTTCTTAGCTCCCCGGCCCTATGCCGGCGTGCGGCTGCCGTCTGCACTCCAAGTGCTCCAAGTTATCGCCCCGCGCGGCAGCCAACGAATACCGTTGGCAAAACAAAACAAACAATCTCTCTCCGTTGGCGCGTTGCGGCACAAGAAACGCGGAGTGCGAGAGATTTTTAGCAATACCAAATAACTCTAATACTCACACGTCATTTGGGGCCTGGAGCCCTTTTCGCTTTTGTTCGGAGTGTGTCATATGGGGATGGGGTGTGTATAGGTACATCGAGATTTCACGCAAAGAAAGACACATAGCTGATAGCAAGTAAAGAGGGCAGCTCAGCGCGATTTCTTGCGCGGCTTGTCCCCTCTCCCTTTGTCCTTGGCCTTGCCGCCGCCGCCGAGCTTGCGCTTTTTCGCCTCGCCCTCCTTGGAGGAGCGCACGCTCAGCACGCCCGTGACGGGGCCGCCCCTGCCGGCCAGCGCCTCCTCCCAGTCCTCCTCTGTGCCCTTGATCTCGTAGCGCGCGAGCGCGCCGTCCTCGAGCCACTCCTGCTGCTTGCGCGCCGCCTCGTCCTGCATCTTGGGCGAGCGAGGCGTCGCGCACGTAGTAGGAGTGGCTCGAGGACGGCGCGCTCGCGAGCGGCTGCACGTGGGCCGACGCGTCGCCCGCCGCCGACGGGCCGGGAAGGGACGCCTCCTCCGCCTTGGCCGCCTCCGCCTGCAGCGGTGCCACCAGCTTGCGCATCATCTTGTTGAAGAGCG